TTCTTGCTTGTCCATTCTGCGAAGGCGACCTTGTTTGGGTCTCCGCCGCAGAGTTCAGCCTTGGGCAAGACATCTCTCACAAGCTCCTTCAGAAATGGATGGGGCCTGGTGCATTACCACGCGCGCTGGCGCCGCACCATATGGGCCCTCATTGGTTGAGGTGCCACTACTCGCCTCTCCACCCGGTCTTTCACTGTTTGAAGCTCGCCCATTTCATTTCGGCAGAGCGTGACAACTTTCCCGGGCGACGATCGCAGGACCCCCCTTCCATGGATGGTTTTGCGACATTGTCTCTCAGCGGAGCTATGGCAACAAGCCGATCAAATACTTGGTCCATTTTTCGCATTGGAGCCATAAGGGCTGACCGTTGGTTGACCCGTGTGGACCTTCAGGTTACGGCCCCCCAAGTTCTCTCACGTTAGGAATGCGAGCAGCAAAGCAAGACGACACCTTCGGCTCCACGCCGTACTCCCATCCAGGTTCCACCTTCGGATTGTCAGCTTTGCCCTCGTCCCGGCTCGACTTCAAAAGGAGGGGGGGGGTGTTGCACGATGAGGACTGCACATGAGTCCCGTTTCTGGGGCCCGACGGTTCCTGGGGGGCCCCAGGCCGCACGCCTATTTTGGGCCATGCGACCTAAAGGCCCATGACCATTTTCCAGGCCACACACGCCACTTTTCGGTTGAGCACTCATTTATTTATTTACTGATGTTGCCAAGTCTTTTGTCTGGTTTTGTCTGTTCCAGGTGCGTCATTTTGGACCTTTCAGCTTGAACAGACCTGAGGGACCTCATTTTCGCTGAAGTAGGCCAGGTTCAGGTTTGTCCAGTAGGAACTGGACCACACATTCCCTGCTGTATCAGCAGGAGGGCCTGGATGTCCGATAGGGACCCAGGCAGGTGAGTACCTCCTCCTGATGCGCAGTCCAAGATTTAGGCCTGCGACCAGGACCGTCGATCAGACTTACCACTGCACAGCCCTGGTTGCAGATGACGGATACACCTGCCAGGCCCAGCACTATAGATAGCCAGGCCAGTCCAGTGCTTGGTCAGACAGGAGTTCTCATTCCTTGGGCGCCATGCTTCTGGAGCAGCGTGCGATCTGAGCGTTGCGTTAGTGTTAGCGGTAGAGGCGTCGGAGGTAGAGTGAGGAGAGGTTGGGTTGATGCCCATACTTGCGAGGTGAGACAGTCCTACCTGGGCGTCATAGCTGGTGCAATCTCCAGCGACCTGCAGCACAGGGAGACACTCAGTGAGTCAGTTCGTGGAAGCATTTCCTTCTCAGGTGAGATAGTGACAGGGGAGAGATCAGCTTCTTCCTCTTCTGTCTCCACCCTCCATATCTACTTCTTCTTCGTCGTCTTCTGAGAGAGAGAGAGAGAGAGAGAGAGAGAGAGAGAGAGAGAGAGAGAGAGAGAGAGAGAGAGAGAGAGAGAGAGAGAGGTTACAGGAAGAGGTTGTGTCGGGGTATGGGGCCCAGGATCTGATTCAAAATCGCAGGAGCAGACATTGATTGGACATTGACAGGGAGACTATTTTTGGACTACGCTTTTCTATCTTCTCCCTCGCCTCCGTCTTCGTCTTGCCCCTCCTCCACCCGTTCATCCGTGGTTTCTCCCCATGTGCGTGCTCAGGGAGGGACGATTCTTCCGTGTATGTGGTCCCTCCCTTCCCTCTCACATGTGTGACACTTGACGGACTGAGTCGAGTCAGTGTCCTCATGGTCAGGTCGTATCTTGAGTCTTCCACTGTGCTACATTGTGTCATTTTCTTATGTATATGGATGTTGCATTGTCCAATCGAGTCCATATCATCCTTTGCTGGTCCTTTGGCTCCCGTGCACCACCCGGTTTGATCCAGGTATGCATCACTCTCTGAGCCTACTTCCAAAGATACCGTGACCATGGCTCCAAACAAGCATTCCCATCCCAAAGAACTGTGGCCACCCACAAACACCCCATGCTCTACAGCAGGGTAAAGAATTAGGCCATGTATGAATAAAGAACAACCGACAAATTATCCAACCACAAAAAGGAGAATAGCTCGCTAGTACGAGCGCAATCCTAGCCGCTCAAATCTCCGAGTGCGCGCGTGTGTGTGTGTGTGTGTGTGTGAGAGAGAGAGAGAGAGAGAGAGAGAGAGAGAGAGAGAGAGAGAGAGAGAGAGAGA